TATCCTCAGCCCGCTGGACGTCCGCCTGGAGGACTGTCAGCTCTCAGAAGCCTCCCGCTGGGACCCCCAGCGACGGGCCAACGTGCGGTATCCACCCCGTAGATCGTCCCCTTGGGGCGCCGGGAAGTCAAGGCCAAGGACCTGGTGCGGCAGCTGCAGCTGGAGGCGGAGGAGCACAGGAAGCAGAAGAAGAGGCAGAATGTGTCGGGCCTGCACAGGTGGGGCCCCTTTCATCAGCCTGTGCCGTTGCGGGCGCTCCCGCAGCTGCCCAAACTCAGGAGACCTCCCCAGCGTTCGTTCACTCTCCTCTCGGGTTCTTGGCGGGGGGGGGGGAAGGATCCATCGTAGCCCCATGTCGCGTGGCTTCAGAGAAGCAGGTGCCAGGAGTGCAGGCCTTGTGTTGTCTCAGAGGGGGGCCCTCGGCATGCCCACCAGGTGCGCAGGGAGAGCGCGCCACGGATGAGGGGCAGCCAGGCCTGCTGCGCTTGATCCAGGTCAGGCTCGGCTGGCTCGGGCGCCGAGGAGGCCCTGCGAACATCTCCTCTGAATTTGCTTGTGTCACGTGCCCTTGACCTGACACCTACTGTGTCCAGAGAACTGCGATTCGTCCACTCGCCTTTAGGTGTGTTTCCACAGCTGTGCCTGTTATCGGTATTTCTTCTCACCCAGGTACCTTCACCTGCTGGATGGGAAGGAGCATTACCCGTGCCTCGTGGATGCAAACGGCGACGTGATTTCTTTCCCGCCCATAACAAACAGCGAGAAGACGAAGGTGGGCGGTGCCAGCGTCTGGCACCTTTGAGACCGCATCACGTGTCGCGTTCACGCGTGTGGCGGTGTGTGCTCGCTGCTGCCCATGACTCGCCACGTGTGCCGCACCCCGGTGTCTGTCTCCCCTCAGGCGGGCGACAGTCCAGATTTGTGTGACACCGTCTTACAGGGTTTTCTGCAGATTAGACCTTGCAGTTGCTGGGGTCTGCTTGTGATAACTTGATTCTTTCCTGAAATCTTTCTAATTTCTGTTGAAGATTAAGAAAACCACTTGTGACCTGTTTCTGGAAGTGACGAGCGCCGCCAGCCTGCAGATTTGCAAGGACATCATGGACGCCCTCATCCTGGTGAGCGTCCGGCCCCGCCCATCCTGCCCACCGAGGCTCTGGCCCCGCGGGACAGACGGCGCGTCCGCTGCCCTTTGCCATCTGGGTGACGGCAGCCTGTCTTCCCTGGGTTGCCTCTAATCTCTCGGTTGAAAAGATATTTTTCATTTGCAGAAAATGGCAGAAATCAACAAGTACACTTTGGAAAACAAAGACGAAGGTTCCCTCTCCGACCACGAAGCCGATGCCATTCCTGGACAAGTCCCGGGCCCCAGGGCGACTCCCGGTGCTGAGCAGGCTGGGAGCGCCCCGCTGGTGGTGGAGCAGGTCCGGGTGGTGGATGAGGAGGGCCACCTGAAGGTGGTGTATCCGTCCAAGACGGACCTGGACCTCGCCGCCGCCCACGTGACTGTGCTCCGCTGATGGCCGGGCCACTGCCTCAGGCTCCCAGGGAGGCACTGTCAGCTGCACTGGCTCTGCAGGGCTTTCGTGTGGTGATATTAAATTATTCCTTCACCTCGGTAGCTTTTAAGATATATGCATTCTCTGTTCAGTTTTCCAGTCGATTCTGTCGTAGGGGGTGCCACGTTGACATGCGCTGAAGTCATTTCACCTTTACAGCACCGAATTGACTCTGCCAGTGCTTTTAATGAAATCACTTGAATATTGGAACTAACTGCTCAAAGGGTTCTGAAATCATTTAGCCACACAGCAAATCACTGTATTCACAGGGGGAAAGGACACTATAATTGGTGTGAATATTTAGTTCTAAGTTGAGAAGCTGAACAACATGCATTTTGCTGAGCTGCACAGTTATTTTTCTACAATACAATATCTTTTAAAGTCCTACGGTTCCAGCAGTGCAGCTTAGAAATGTGGGATGTCATGGTTTCCAGTTATTGTAAACCGTAATCTTTTTATAAAAACATTTTTTAACGTGACCTTAGAATTGGCAAAATCATTTTTCTTACTGCTGCTGTAGGATGCTTTGGGGGTGGGAGGCAGGGCATCCGGGAGCGACGGCCCAACCCGCCTGCTGCACTGGCCGGACTTGGGGAGGGCGGGGGCGTCAGTCGACTGTAAACCAGCACCAGGGCCGTGAGGTGTCACACCTGCGTCTGGAGGTCAGTGTGCAGGTTTCCCACTGCAAAACAGGCTTCCATGCTCAGACAGGGCGGTCAGCCGTCGTCAGCTTGCTCCAGGACGGGGGTGGCGGTGACTGGAGGAGGCATGGGGAGTTTGATGCCAGGAATCGTGGAGCATGTGCCGGACAAGGGGGTCTCAGCGTCTGGCATTCTAGGTATTTCCAGCTCTGAGTCGGCAGTTCACTGACCTCACTGCTCCAGGAGCAGCCGGCACAGGAAAAACTGACCCGCCACCTTTTTCTTGTTGAGTGAACGCGTGTTCCATGGTCTTTGACCTGCAAAGGACAGTTTATGTGTTTTGTCAAAATGACAGGCGGCTGGCAGGCATATGCGAGAGCCCCCCCCGGACCCAGCCGCGTAGCGGTCAGAGCCAGACCCGCGTGAGGCCCACACCCCACACGCCGGGCCTGCTGTACAACCACGTGGGTTCCCCAGGGCCCGGCCAGCCCTCCTCAAAGGACATGGCGGGGCTGCCTTGACCCCTGACCCAGCTCTCTGGTCACTGCCAGGACTGCCCTTCGTCGGCCCTGGAGCAGCCGTGCTTAACTGGGCTGAAGTGGACACCGGGTGACAGTGTTCCCCAGACCTACCTGACATCTGTGCGCATCGGCGGCTCAGGGCTGTCACTTCACGACCCTCGGGCCATCAAGGCCGCAGATGCTGCGGCTGACGTGGGCATGGGCGTCACGGCGAAGCCCTGCTGGGAGCTCCGGGTTGGGGCCGCAGCTGAGCTGCCCTCTTGGCACCAGGCTGTGGCTTCGGCGGCCGCGTGGCACCACGTCTGGGGCGCCTTGATGTTGGGGAGCAGCCGGCCCTGCTGCTCTTCTCTGGTGCAGTTTGATTCCGTGTGAGGTTTCGAAACGTATTCAACTTACAGCAGAAAACCGCTCTGACGTTTCTTTTTCTTTGTCGCCCGACCCTCTAATAAAAACATTTAGAAGGAACATCGCGGCTCCTTCCCCGTGAGTCCTTCCTGGGGTTTCTGGAGGTGCGTGTTGGAAGTGTCTGTGGGGAAGCTGGGGACCTGGGACCCTCTTGCCAGCAAAGAGTGAGAGGCAGTTATCTCCTGTCACTCGGGCCTGGCCCAGAGAAGCGGCTGCCCTTGATCCCTGGGTCCTGGGAACCTGCTCCTGTAGCATCACCAGGTGGACCCCACCCCGGGGCTTTCCCAAAGGGGTCAAGTTCCTGGGACCCGCCTCCAGCAGACCACCCCAATCCTGAACCTCCTGTGGGAGCGGAGGCCAAGGGTCCTGTCCCGTCCTCTCCCAACCCTCCCAGGGCTGTCGGGACGCCACCTCCACTCCGGCCACTCAGGTCCAGCTGGCGCCCCGGGGCACGTCTCTCTGAGATGCCCCGCGTGCCCCTGCCTGTAGCCCCCCACCTGCATGGGCCAGGCATCCGGTGCCAGTAGGGCCTGGGGCAAGGGGTGCCGCGCATCCCCCAGGCTCTGGGCTGGTGCACCCAGCTCTCCATGCTGAGGCCTGCTTGGCCGTGGGGCACACAGGGCGTGGCCAGCCAGACCCAGGCCAGACCCCAGCACCGTCCATGGTCCACGGCCGCCCGTAAGGTTCCCCCCGGTCCTGGGGAGCAGGCCTCGTAAGGACCCTGGGCGTCACCCAGCGGTGCCGGACCGAGCCGGACAGGCTCCGAGGTCACTTCCTCTCCACCCGCTCCCGCTGCTGGCTGCCCCTCCTTGCCCCGTCCCGCCTCCCTGCCTTGCCCCAGGCCAGTCACATGTGACCTGTGCATCCGCAGACCTGCCCCTCACCAGGGGCTACTCGGGGAATGCGGCCCTGGAGCCGAAGAGGCCTCAGAGGGAGTGGGGGGCAGGGGCAGCGGGGACCCCTCCCTCCTCCCTCTGTCCCGCGCCCTCGCCCCACTCCTGGGTGAGGCTGCACTGGGCCTCGGGGAGGGTCAGCCCTTGCACCTCCAGCGACGACCGCCGACCGCTGAGAGCCCCCGGAGGCCACGCAGCCAGGCCAGTGGCCCCTGCCCACCTTCCCACACCCTCCACCCCAGTGCCCGTCCTGAGATGGCCAGAGGGGACTCCAACTGGGGTGCTAGGCTGAGGCCAGACAGGTGCAGGCCAGCTGGGGCCCCCTCCCTGGCTGTGGCCAAGCAGGTGGGGGCAGAGTCTCTCCGGAGACAGATGTTGAGGCGCAGAGACCAGGGCGGCTGGGACAGACCCTCCACCACTGCCCTTAACCTGCTTGCCCTGCCCCCTGCCCCACAGCAGGCCCTGATGAAGCACCGCTGCTGGGAGACCCCAGCCCAGCAGCAGGCTCAGAGCCAGGGATCACCTGGGTGGTGCAGCCCCACCTCACGCCCACCCGGCCCGGGCAGACTTGCAGTGGGCCCGCTGTGCCCTAGGCCAGTCCCGTGGGGTCTCTGCCCTCCCTGCCAGCTCGGCCTCTGACACCCAGGTTTGCTATGAGCCATAGGGATCCTGACTGTCCCTCGTCTCCTGCCCTCAGTTCTGGGGTGAGGACCAATTCCCTAAGAAGGTGTTTCTGGCAAGGGGTCTGCGGGGTCTGGGGCGTGAGTTCACAGCAGGCGAGGGCCAAGCGAGCTGGAGCAGAGCCGGCAAGGCGCTGTCCATGGTCAGGAGAGGCAGGAGCAGGTCCAGCCACATGCGCGCCCGCAGGCCTGCCCCTGTGCTCCCACCTCCCGGCAGAGGGCCTGGCCAGGACGGGGCGCATCCCAAGGCCCAGAGCCAGCGGGAGGCTCACAGGCCCTTTCCCAGGCCTCCCGGCCGCTGTCCAGATGCCCTCCAGCTGCCCTCACATCGGGGGCCGTGAGTCACGCCTCGCCGGGGAGACCCACGGGAGACACTGTCATCGTGTTTTCATTCAACAGACATTTAATGACGACCTCCGTGTGCAGGGTCTGGGCCTCCTACAGGGTGCCGGTGGAGGGGCCGGGCTCCTGCAGGGACCACTCTGTGGGGTGGACAGCCCTGGGGAACGTGTCCACCTCCCTGGAGGGAAGATGCAGAGGTGGGTCTGGGACAAGGGCTAAGGCCCCTCTACCCAGGAAATGACTCAGCCCCCGGGGAGGGTGGATGTACAGAGGGACACACATACACCCCCTCAGAGCCATCCTTTCACAACGGGAGTCAGAAGGGCCAGAGAGGGCAGGGGCCTGGTCAGGGCCACACAGCTCCGCACAATGCCCACCCAGGGACGACCCCACCCTGGGGCTGCCAGGCCTGTGCCCTCGGCTGCGGGGAGAAAGGGAGCTCTTGGGGCCCTGGACTGAGGGCCTAGCCTGGGTGTATCCTGAGCCCCAGCTCAGGCTGGGCCCGGTCTCCCAGCCTCGTGGGCCCCTGGGTGGCTGTGTGCGCCAGGCGTGCAGGTGTGTGTCCTTGTGTACCCGTGTCCCTGTTTGGCTGTACGCCTGTGGATGCCCGTGACAGCTGTGCACAGTGGTGTCCCTGTGAGCTTGAGGCCAATATGTGTGCCCCCTGTGCCCCTGGAGTCTGTGCACTGGTCTGGGGGCGAGTGTCTGTGTGCATGGTGAGGGGCTGTGAACACAGAGGGGAGCCTGTGTAGAGAGAGGAGGGTCTGTGTATATGGGAGGCTGTATACACTAAGGTCCGTGTAGACTGGTGGGTCTGTGTACACGGAGGGGTTCTCGCACACGGGGTGTCCCTCCGAGCCCATGCCCCTGGGCGCATGCTCTGGGCAGCGTTCATTTGCACTTGTGCACGAAGTAGCCGGTGATGTAGCCCAGGGTGAACACGACCCAGAAGAGGGCCACTCCACCCAGCACCTTCAAGGAGATGCCCAGCTTGCCCGAGCACAGCTTCCGGGAGACCCTAGAGTGAGAACCGCAGGCACGTGAGCCCCCAGGCGGCCCCCAGTGCGGGGGTGGGGGGGCGGGGGGAGGAGAAGGAGGGGGCCCTGGGCAGGTGGACTGTGGAGGAGGGCAGCCCAGGCGCTCTGGACTGGAAGACAGGAGGGAGGGGAGTGGTGGAGACACCGGGGAAGGTGTGGGGCCCGGGTCTGCCGAGACCGCCTGGGGTGGGCGCCCAGTGGGCGCAGAGCAGAGGCTGGCAGGAAGGATGGGAGGGGCCTGCGCAGGGCCAGGGGGGCCCTCCTCCCAGCCCCTCACCTCTTACAGCCCGAGGCCTCCTGTGCGCCGGGCCCGCTGGCCACGCTGACTTCATCCCGGCTGCTGTCCTCCCACCTACTGTACTGGATGCTACTCTCCTGGGGCTGCATCCTGGGGGCCACGGGGCTCTGGCGGGAGGGGCAGAAGGTGGGCTGAGCCTCCCAAGACACACTGTTCCAGACCCGGTGAGGCCAGGGGCAGGGTTCGTGTGGCCCTGCTCTTGGGGTGAGGGTCTGCCTGGGGGCCGTGACGGGCCAGGTGGGCTGGCTCTTTGCCTGCATCCTCTCATCCAGCTTGGGAGGTGACCAGGATGCAGAGGGGTTAGGCCACTTGTCCAGGGTCACGTGGGAGGAGGCAAGAGGGAATTCCAACAGGGAGTCTGAAAGTCTGCCAAACCCTGCCCTCAGGAATGCGAGAGGCTGCTTTTCCACCCAGCCTGCTCCCCCAGGGCAGGGGGGGGCCTCCAGGCAGAGCTGCTGCCACCCTGGAGGGCCCCTGGCTGGGGCCAGGTCACCAAGCCTGATAACTAACGGCTTTCCCTCCTCCCATTCCTGCCAGATAAGGCCCCAGAGCCATCCCTGGAGGCTGGAAAGGAAGGGGACGGGGCAAGCCGGGCAGCCGGACTGGGGGCAGCGGGTACAGCCTGTCCAGTAGGGGGAGGAGGCCCGCCTGGCCTGCGCAGCAGCAGCAGCTGTGTCCTCTGGCCTGTCCGAGTTGCAGCCCCTCCCTCACCCACCGCTGTGCCCTGCTGGGAGTCCAGGGGCTGAGACTTTGCTCAGCTCCCGCCAGCCTGGGAAAACCTGACCTTTTGTCCAGGTAATCTGGGACACAGAGGCTTAAAAGCACAGTGAGCCACTTAGCAAGAAGCGAACCCAGAAACTCAGGAAATCCGGCAGTTCTTAAACCCCCGAAATGCTTCCACGTTTGCCCTTTCCCAAATCCCAGGCCCATGGGACAAAGGAAGGGAGCTTGTCTCAAAGCCACAAAGCCTGTCCTTCCTGTGGGATCCTGTGCTCTGGGGTAGCCATGCAGGCCGGGTCTCAGGCCTGGGGAAGGCCAAGCATTTGTTGAGCGTGGGTTCTGCTTTCCCAGGATGTGTCCAGGAAAGGGGCTAAGGGCCAGCTCTGTTAGCTACCTACCTAATGTCCACCCTCCCTCCTGTGGCCAGAGTCCCCATCTTGTTTCAGGCAGCAGTGTGCCAGCCCAAAGTGACAGTCACGGGCTAAGACAAGCTTAATACTCTGACCCCTGCTTTCCCATGTCACCCAGATATGAGCAAGGTGCTGGGGTGCAGCAGGGGGTAGGAGGCTTTTGCTTTCATGAACAAAAGAACAGCCACTTCCTTCTTCCTGCCTTGAAGTGATGGCTGGAGCTGAGCAGCCACTTTGCAATCTGGATATCCTGCCACACCAGCCCAGTGGTGCTGGGTCTCCAAATCCACACCAGCTGCCCACCCATGAGCTTCTTGATCTGAGGAGGGTCAAGCTCACTTTGTGCAAGCCTGGGACAGTGGGTTCCTGTTATTTGCAGCAGAACAAGCTCCTGACTGACGCGGATGGTGGCCGTCAAGTAGTCCTGGCCGGAGAACGCCACCAGAAGCGGTGAGGTGCTGGAGCTGAGCTTCTGAGGGCTTCATTCACCTGCTTGTAATGGTCTGTCCAACCCACACGCGACGGCCACACAGTGTCACAGGACCCTGGGGCTGTGCTGCCTGGCAGGGACACCTGCTAAGCCCTGGGACCCTCAGGGGTACCACCGCCTCCTGGGAGTGTGTGGGGACAGAGTCCTTGGCACACACGGGCTGCATATACATTAGACCCCTTCACCCCCAAGGCACCTCCAAGGAGCCCACAGCTTACAAGGGGAGAGTCCCGGCGTTGGGGGTCGAAGCCTCTGCGGTCCAGGAAGATGGTCAGAGCCCGGCCAGTGATCTCACCTCCTCCCAGCCCGCAGTTCAGGACCTGAGGAGCCTCAGATGCCTCCAACCTTAAAGAAAGACAGAAAATAAAGAAAAGGTGAAGAGGAGCGAGCGGCGCTGCCAGGGGCAGGGAAGGGAAAGGGGCCCTGGGGCGTCCCGGGCGGCCAGCAGGAGCGGCGAAGGCAGTTAGCCTCGGGGTCTGTGGGCCCGGGACAGCCTCAACCCCGCCCGCACCCCAGCAACTCCTCTCTCCCGGGCCGGCCGCTCACAGAGGCCGCGGCCTAGCGGGGCGGGGGGCTGCACTGGGCCTCGCCAGTGGGGTCTCTGCCCACTGCCCACTTGAAACCAAGCCCACCACCTCCTTCTACTCGAGGAAACCGCACCACGACCCCGTGTCTCACCTGGCTCGACAGCCCCCGGCCGCTCCGCGCGCCGCGGACGTGTCCCTGGCCTGAGGGGGGCGGGGCCTTGGAGGGGGTGGGGCCTAGTGGGTGGTGGGGCCTGAGCGGGGGCGGAGCAGGGCTGGGGTGGGCGGGGCGAGGCGGTGGGTGGTGGGGCACGGGGAAGGGGCCGGGCAGGTAGGTCGGGGCGGGGCATAAATGGGGCGGCATCTGAGGCCGTGGGTGGGAGGCCGCCGGACTCCGGGAACGGGGGTGGGGCCTGGTGGAGGGGTGGAGGGGCGGGGCCGTTACCGGGGGCGTGGCAGGGGCGGAGCAAGAGGGAGGTCCCAAGGCCTTCCAGGAGGTGCGTGCTGCAGGGGCGAGGAGCAGCAAGGGCCGCCGGGGCCGCAGGAGCCGCAAGGGCCGCAGAGCGCACCTCTCTCCAGGGCCTAGACCCCTCTCAACTGTTGCAGTTTCCCCGCCGGGAACCGGGCTCGAGCGCAGAAGCGGGCTCAGTGGGGGGAGGAGGGATGGCAAGCGCGCCTGGTTAGAACCGAAACACCGGATTGTTCTCGGGGGCGCCCAGTCATCAGGTTCCCCAGCCGCCAGCCGGCCTTCCGCTCGCTCTGAGCGGCCAGAGGCCTGGGTGGGGCGGCCATGCGCGAGCGGGCGCTGCTCGAAGGAAAGGATGAAAGAATGCGTGGACAGGTGAGCGTAGAGAGCAAAGAGAAGAGGCCGAGGACTGACTAGGTTCAGCACGTGTTTGTGTGCCGGGCACAGGTCTCTGTGAACGACACTGACAAGCGTGCCTGTCCTCGCAGATCTTTCATCTCAGGAGCGATGGATGTGAACAGAAGTGCCGCAGCCCGACCCATCTTCTTCCACGGGGTCGCACCAGCAAAACAGTGCCCCAGCTGGGGAGCCCCTGTCAGGGGAACCGCCGCAGGTGTGTGCGGCAGAGAAGGACCGCTCTGGGATCTGAACCGAATGCGGTGGACAGGAGCCCAGTCTCAGGCCTCCTACACCTGGCACCACCAGAGGGCACCCTGCTCAGCGTAGGGTCTTCCCAGGAAGGAGCCAGGGGTGCAGGCTGCTGTGCTGACCCCCAACGAGTGAGTTTTGGAATGGGGGGTGTCCATGTAGCCCAAGCTCCCCTGTGTGTGCTAGTGAAGGAGAAGGTGAGACGGTGGCCAACAGCAGGTGTAATTCTGAATCTGGGCGCAAGGGTGAGGCCATGGGGCCTGACGGAGGAGAAGGGGGGGCACACAGGGCACACCCAGGTTGGGTCCTGGCCTCCACTGGACTGGCTGCGCCTGGGGTCCTAGCTGGGCCTACTTGGAGCTTATCTTCTTGGACTTGCTGGGTGAGGATAAGATCTCCGACTGCTGCAGGGGGGGAACTTTAATCCCCTTCTGTTTCAACTGGTTGTAGTAGTCAGTTCTCTCTGAGATGATCCCCTAGAAAAGACATGCAGCAGCGTGTGCCCAGTCCTTGCAGGCTCCTGGGACACCACCCTTCCCTCCCCGAGAAGAGCCCGCTGCCTCAGTGCTGTGCTGGTGAATATTTGCAACCTGTTCTCCAGGAGAAAATAAAAAGCTCTGGTTTGTAGCATTTGCCAATTTCTGTTCTGAAAGCCCTCCCACCACGGCTGATCCAGGCACAGGGGTGAAGCCACAGAACTCGGAGCTGGGGAGAGATGCCCACCATCGGCTCCAGGTCATCTCACCCCTGGAGTCTGCCCCAAATGCACTTCTTAGTCCTCTGGGAATTGCTGGGAGCCCAGACTCCCAGAGACCTCAGAGGCCGTCAAGTCTTAACCTCAAGTCCCTTCTGTCCTGGGCGCAGGGAAGGCTGTCCCGCCCCTCCTCAGCCTCCTTCTCTCTGGCCCATTGCTGGTTTGTGTGGGGCATTGGCAAAGGAAGGGGGTTTTCCCTGGCTACTGGGTGATGGTGACGACTCCTCCTATCCCCCTCCCCGCTCCCTCCCTCCCCCCCATCCCCCATCCCTCCCACCTTCTCTCTCCTTCCTCCCTCTTCCCCTCCTACAAACAACAGTAACCAGGCCCCAGGCCCCAAACAACAGAGACCTCTCCCCAGGTCCCCATGCAGAGGTCCCCTCTGCCCTGAGGGCTGTGGCCACCCTGCAAGAGCACCATTAACTCCCCGCCCCCCCTCACAGAGGAAAGGAACCCAGCCCCAGGGAAGTGTGGACCAGTGGCAGGTCATGGGTAGCTGCTGGGGTCTAGGGCTGTGCTGTCGAAGGAGGCTTGGGGCCCCGCACGGAGCACCTGTCTTTCAGGTGCTTTCCTCCCAGAGCTGTGGGCCCCGTGGTGCCTGGAAGGCAGGCACGCTGTCCCGGGTACAGAGGGAAGCTCTACGGCTCAGCGAAGTCAAGTGACCGGCCCACAGCTTTGAAGCTAAGGTCCAGGAGGTGGTGACTCACTCCTGCCACCCCAAAGCTGCACTATTTCCCCTTCACCGCCCTGCCCCTCTGAGTCCTCTGCCTGTCAGTGAGGAGCTGGCATGGACCAAGGCCGGGGAGAGGGTCCGTGCCAGACTCCTGGCTCAGCAGGGATTCCAGCGGAGGCCAGGCTGAGCTGCAAAGTAGCATCCTTGGAGGAGGCTGAGCTGGGCGGAGCCTGGGGATGGGCTCCTGCTGCAGGAAAATGCCCAGGACCCAGCAGTTTGGGCCCCTCCCTACTGCACTGGGTGGGTTTGCAGCAGCTGCTGCTGGGCGCTGAATGCTGAGAGCAGCTCGGGGACATTGCCACCCATTAGGGAGACCTAGTCCCCTCTGCCTAAGCAGAGAGAAAGGACAGT